TTTAATACCGATATATATAGTTTTGCCTTAGATTCAATACGATTGCTGATGCCATCCAAAAAAGGCCTCTTGTACCCTTGCATTAGTCTAAAACTTGATCTAGATTCATTGATCCCTAGGCCTTCCATTATTTTATCTTGGCGTAATTTATCCTAGATCAGGAGATTTTGGTCTCTAACGAAGTTACAACAAAGTTAGTATCAATTCATTCTAGATCCATCTCTCTCCAACTTTTCCATTCTATTAGTACCAAAATAAATTTATTGAGTAAAATAAATAAATAAAATAAAAATACCTTTAGTTGCAAACCAGTTTCATATTACGTGTTTTTCAAACTAACTCAAGCCACTTAATCTAAACTAACCCAATACATTTACATAAGAATATACAAAAAATGTCAACAGAATCAATTTACAATATAAATTTACATTTGTTTTTTTTCATTGCGGCCCTGAATGAAAGATTTTGAACTCTTAATCTCTTGAGGTAGGCCATTATACAACTGCGGGCCGAAATAAGAAAAAGCTCTTCTTCCAACCTCAAGCCTCACTTTAGGAAAGTGAAGCCTGCGGTCGGAGCGAGTACTACACAGTCCGATCTCCCTCCTGTACTTCAGCCTCTCGCTGAGGTAATGAGGCCCTCCCAGCGTGAGCACATTGTGGACCAGGCAGCAGGTCAGCTTTCTGCACATGTCATCCATTGGGATGAGCTTTGCAGCATCTCGGAAGGAGGACACGTGGCCAAAGCGACTAAGGCCAAAAATGAACCTTATGGCAGAATTTTGAATCTGAATTCTCTGAACTTGCCATATCCTCCTTAGTGATGCTGTTTCCATATGCAGGAAAGCAATATGTGAAGGCTGGAAGGACCAAAGACCACATGAGTTTCGTTTTGGCATCAGTGTTTGTAGTTTGGCATCATTATTGTATCAGTGTTTTGTAAGAACGATTTAGTGTTATATAATAGGAATTTATTTTTAACACGATATTTTTTACACTGTCAAGGTATTTCTTTCCGTTTTCTCTATGCGTTGAATTTTTCCGATCATATCATAATTCAAGTGATTAAATATCATCCCTAAATCAGGGTATTCAACCTATTCTAGAATGTATAAAAAATACTTTGTTAAAAAATAAAATTTTTGCCTATTCAATAAATAAATGTTTAGTGTAGTTCCTTTAGAGTAGTTCATAGAAATACTATAACGCAATTATGCATCTTAAAATATGTATTTTTCGTCAATCTGCTTAATTAAAATAATCAATACAATTAAATCTGGTATGCTTGAGAAAAGATTCAAGAAATCGATTCAGGCAAATGTAAATTCGCTTAGGCCGCAGGTTTTCTGCACCGGGGGTATTGTATTGCATTTATTACGAGCCAATAAATGTACTCAAGTCCATTATGTGAACATGAGATTTCTATGTGTATTTTTGTAAACATTAGGGAGCTAGCACGTCTAGTGGTTTGATCCCAAAGGTATCGGGTTCAAATCCAGTTAATCTCCAATCTCTCTGTAGAGCCGTGGAATGATTACTTACAATTATTTTTGTTATTTACAATAAATCAAGCTATCGCGTTCACGGACATATACTGTACATATGTACACAAATTTGAACGAATGGTGTTTTTGGCCTCTAGTGATATCAACATGAAAAATTACATCGGTCCCAGATTCCAGGTCTTACCGTGCCAGCTACGGTAATAGCTACTTCCCTATAAGGAAATTCGCTAAAACTTGGTACAGTACAATGATATTTCTCTTGGGCAGGTGCATTAGTTTTGTGTCGACGTCACGCTATACAGCATTGTGTCATTTATTCCTGATTTATAAACCACAGATTTCAAACAACTGTCAACCATGTTGTCAAAAACTAATGCTATGAGAGGTGTTGCCAGAAAGTATCAGTTTATATATTAACAATAAGTAGCAAATTATTTCAAATCTCTCTTCTTGCTAAGTCATCTACCCAGGAAGAAAAGAATAGCACGTCATTTAGGCTCTCTGAAATAGTGATGTTTGCTTTGTTATACTTGAGTTCAAAACAGCTTATATTGGTCAGCAACAGAGCTACACAGCTAATCTCACTCCATTCTACACTCATACTTCCATATATTGGTAAAAATAAGTCCCCATCTCAATGATTGATAGTTAATATTTGTTGCATTATTTTGACAAAACGATTTGTTTAATAGATCGAAAGAAAAACATACATTAACGGACACAAATTCCAAACGTTTTGTATTTCTTACTGCAAATCGTGCCGAAAACCTTGCAAACTTACTTACTGAGGATTCCTTTTTACTGCAAACTGGATTCTGACCACTAAAATCTTAAAGTTTGTGCAGTATAACGATATGCATTATTTTTCTAGCATATTTTAGGACTTTAATTTCATTTATGGGCATATTTAAAAACAAAAATATCTTTGTTTGCAATTTTCACTTAATCCAACCAGTTTGGATGGCTACAAAAAATGCAATGGTATATTTTTCACTTTCACAACAATTCAAACTGGAATAAGGGAACGAATCACACATAAAAAATAGAATCACATTTAAAAATGGAGTTTTTCCGTTGGTATGTAAAATAAATAAATCACGAGGTCATAAATATCAACTTTACGCACAATCCAGAAGGGCGCAAGCAAATTTGGCCTTTTCTTTCAGTATCTCTCATAAAATTATCCTCACTCTAAAAGTTTTATACAATTAAATGTCTTGCTAATTATTTTTGAATAGGCAATGGACTACCACGTCCTGTCACTCTGTTACTTGATGCGTCCTCCAGTAAACATGGTTTTCAAAACATAAGAAGGTCAGGAGATCTAGGATCAGTGCCTCGGAATTGCATTATTATTGGAGCAGTGCGTTACGGAGCAGTTCTTTTCGGAGCAGTGCCTGGCCATATACATAATTTTAAAGTACTGCGCCAGAGATGCATTCTTTTACGATCGATGCCTTTCGAAATTATGCCTTCTGGAACAGTGCCTGACAGGTTAAGTTCTTTTTGGTGGCCTTTGATGTGAATTCTTTCCATATCAGTGATTTTCGGAGCTATGCCTTTTGGAGAAATGCTGCGCTACAATTAGGAGGACATGAAAATAATAGAGATCGATGGTCTGAAATCAGACAGTGAAATGTCTCCGTTGACTATGTAAATTTGTAAGTAATCCATTGTTCTGACCATATTCTGTCATCCTGGTACTTGGTGCATCCTGTAGGGACTGTAGGGGACCTGCATTGAATAAATGCATATGTAAATAAAAAAGAGATTTTACCACGTTCTGTCACCCTGCTATTTGACGCATCATATGACAAACATGGCTCATTAGGATACTAGGAGATATAAGGAGTCTATTCTAGGTGAGTAAAGTTTATATTTGCTCCCGCCGAATCACGGACCGAGGTTGGAACTTCCCTTAGTCTACCCAGGGCAAAGAATGATCACCTACTTATAAGAGAGACCTTTTTTAACTGGATTTTAAAATATTGGATATAGAAATAGGAAATCGGAGAATTAGGTGAGATATATCATATTCGGCTCACCTAATAAAATTCCTATTACATCCTACCACCTTAACACCACGAGCCCCCATTGGAAAACATTACATCCACTCCATTGGAAGGGATGCGGTGCGAGTGCCATCCTATGTTTAGCCGTGGGGGTCATAAACTGTCAAAACCGTCAGGTAGGCCCGAGTGCCAGTTGACTCCACAGAGCGTAAGAGTTATTCAAGGGAGGGGTTTTAGTGACCCAGAAGTAGTGGGCTGGATGTAACGGAGACCAGGTACAGTTTCATAACTGGGCTACTAATATCGATTCAAATATCGATTCGATTAGTAACGTTGATTTGATTTTTACATAATTAGCAAGTTAGGTTAGGTTATATTAGTTTCAATCTACCCTCAAACAAGTTTTGTCCATCCTGACCCCCCTTGGTCGACTGTGTCCTCCATATCCGCCGCACCGTGGAACCGGTCACTGATACTGGCTGGCACTCGCACCGCCAAGCCTCAGGCTGTAGTTTTTAGGCAACTGGCGCTAAGCCCTGGACTTCCATTGGAAGGCCCATTAAGTAGGACTTGTTGGACTCTAATAACTAAACATTCGCTAGCAACTAACTAGACTGAATTCTAGATAGAACCGCCTGCGAACTATGACGTCAATGACGCATTCACTCAGTTCCCTCTAGTAACATCAACATCAGGTCTAAACAGAACGCAAACAACCTTTAAATATTTTGTACGCGTAAACCACGAGCCCACCATGAGTTAGTACAATATCCTTAAATCCTGGTACTTTCAGGAAAAATGTGTCTGCTGCCTTAGCCAACATTACTTCCTCATTACCCCCCTTTGCGTGCTATGACGTCACACATGTATTCACTCGGCTCACTCCGGTAGCAAAATGCATAAACTGTCAACAAGACACTTGTCTGTGGTATGCATAAACCATCGGCCCTCCATTAATTTCGTACCAAATCTTGCAGCCCTGATACTTTCAAGCAAAGATAGCATACAGCATTGGTCCACAGTACTTCCTCATTTGGCACCGGTTGTGAGCTATGACGTCACTCAGGTATTCCCTTAGTTCACTCCAGTAGCAACAGGACGTAATACATCGTACTTACTATTGTGTTAGTTATAACTCTTTTTTTTATTATTACTGTACATTAAATGTTTGAATTTATACTTGACTTAAAATGATTCCTCATTGAATTGATTGTTATGTATATTTTATTCAATCCGTACGTAAAACTGGTACAAAGCTAGTTTACTATAATTATGAATACACAAGGGCATATATTTTGTGCAGAACGCCCCAAAAATGGGGGTTGGTATTTAGAACTTGTGTATAGCTTGGGAAACTGTTGATTGGAAACTGTCCTAACGTGTAGATAGTTCCTTTATCGACTTTTCTTGAGACAAACCTCAAGCATAATCTTGCAAGAGAAATCGGTGGAATCGTCAAATAAATATTCTCAGAGAGCTGTACCTACATTTTACAATTATGATGTTTATTGAGTGAGAGAGGAAAACAATAATACGTATTTAAAAACTTGGCGATAAATCATTTAAAAATTTTGTTTCCAGTGAGGTTTTTTATTCTAAGTGTTTTTCATTGTTTTACTGTTCTCATTTCTTTTCATTTGCTTCTTTCTTCGCTCTCTCCCTGTGTGACTCCAAATATTCTGTTCGCTTTTGCCCTGTGCCAAACTTAAAGAGCTGGTCCTTCGCTTGGGCCCATTCCTCCGGGTTTCCACTATCGTAGAACCTGCAGGCATGGTAGGTCCCGTGTATGAGTGGTCGGGCGACTTTGTTGAACGCTGGATTGTCACCGTATTTGGCGTCAAGGTTGTCTGAGTATCCTCTATGTATTGGGTTGTCTTTTTCCAAACTCGCCGAGATGAGTGACACCATGCACGACAGATACAGCAGGAAGAGGGGGACTTTCATCATGAAAACGTGAGTATCTGTAACATAATTTACAATATTGTTCTGTACCTTTTATTTCAATATTTTTTTATGAAACTTGATTTACTTAAATGCAAGCAACCGAAAGTACTGATAATTATGTGATATTTTGTATCCGCCGTTTCCCTTAAGTGGGGATGGGTAGCAGAAAAATATTTCAGTTCTGGAACATTCCATTTGGGGTGGTGATAATATATAAGACCGAGAATGTAAAACCGCCTAGACCCCTAATTTTTTAGGACCTCGGTCGTCCGTAATGAGGTCAACAAAAGCAGGCTTATAGTGGTTATATAACTATACTTTAACCACTATCACCACCACAAGTGGCATGTTCCCCTCCAGAACTGAAATATTCTGCCACTATATGCAACTATACAACCCCACTAATGAGTAATTACCAAAATTCAGGAATAATTTTAGTGGGCCAAAATAAAAAGAAAATCAATTTAATCTTTTCCCTCAAAAACAACTTGTTAGTGAGATATCCATCATTTTGTTTTGATGTTTTAAATTCCTACCATAAAAACGAAATAAGATTCGCCGAAATGGATCTCTCCTACTGTGACAGCTATTTTAAACTTTGATTGAATAAATTTTGGCTAAACTATTATCATAGTAATTAAAGTAATTGTACGTTTACAAAAATATTCTTTCTTACGTAAGTAATACCATGAATAGAAGGAGTAGACACTCCTTTTATCTTAAGTACATTGTAATCATTGTACTATCGTAAGTAAGATTCAATTGATCAGTAAGCACTTTTATAAAGAACGTTGATACAGTACCACTCTTATCTTGGTTCAAGCTCTAACAAAAATCAGAAGTTAATTATAGCTTATACGCATTCATGTTGTGTGATAATTCTGAATTCCTCATCTCTATGCTAAGCTATAACTGCGAAGACTTACATTTCAATCAAAAGCAAAAGCACTTTATATCAAATTAAATTTTTAGCACCTTAACTCATGTTAAATACAAATTTAGAGATGAGAAAATACTTGAAGAGGAACGAATTTATCACATTGACGTTACATTCAAATAAAATATATACTAAGAAGGGGTCGCCGGGATTTTATCCCCCTGGAATTTTACCCCCTGGGCAAAGCTGACGTCACTATGACGTAGTAACCTGAGTGGCCAAAGGTTTGTTCGCGGCCGGAATTTTACCCCCGCGGATTTGGAAGTCTAATGAAAATAGCCAGAGCGTGATTAATTAGATTAGCAAAAAAACCCGGAATTTTACCCCCTGCCCATATAACTAGCGTTTAGACAACTGAAGATGTACGGGCCGGACTTTTACCTCCGGATTTTTACCCCCGGATGTTTACCCTCCGGAATTTTACCCCCTGGCTGATTTTAGAAATTGAATGATTGATTTTCTTATTTCTGTTTTTAATTTATTGTAAACATTTCATTATTTAGTCGCCTATCTTTATTGATTTATTTTGTAATCTCAACTAAGTAAACAGAATTCGCTGTTTAATTTTGATGTTCGGGATTTGCGTTTAGGGCCAACTGATGGTTAATAAGTATGTAAAATAAACTTGAGTAGCTCATTTAAATGATAATTGGGTGAACATTTCTTCGTAAAGAAACAATAAGGCATATTTTGTTATTGTTACAATACATACGAAAACAATGTTTTACCACGGTTGTATAATAAAACGTTAAAGAAATCTTCGAATCAATTACCATTCTGATGTTTGTTTATACGTCATATTAATCAACATTTGGCTTCAAAGATTAAATCCTGATACTCGAATCCCAAAATTAAAATCAAAAACCTGTTCGATTAGTTGATGTTACAAATAAATTAAGATAGGCTACTTAATAATAAAATGTTTACTATTAAATTAATACAGAATGAAGATAATTAATCATTCCCACTAATTTATATATCTGGCCAGGGGGTAAAATTCCGGGGGTAAAAATCCGGGCCGTACACTCTAGGTTTTTATAATTTGATGTGTTCTGATTAAATTCACATCCGTGAAAATATATGTTTAATCCCACGTTTAATCCATCGAGCTGATGTCGCGAAACTCGAAAGTTTGCGGCCGGAATTTTACCCCCTGGTTTGTGACGTCACGTTTGCCCAGGGGGTAAAATTCCAGGGGGATAAAAATCCGCTACCCACTAAGAAGTACAAGTGGCTATACAGTAATAGTGGATTGGTGACAATTACCTTTTAAAATTAACCAATGAAAGCCTGTTTAACAAAAAAATACCATCCATTTTCATAGAAGTTATTGTATGGTAAAATAAATTTTCCATTAATTTATTTGTAAAGATTTCCTAATTGTACAATGTACATCTTTTATATTACTATATTATTTTTTTTAGGACACATTGAGTGAGTAAATGTCAGATTATATAAGTACAATTACCTTTTTATTACTTGTTTCCGTTCATTGCTAGTAGTCGTGTTATAAATAATTAATTTTTATATCTTAGGTTAAGCTCACCACTTTTGTTGTTATACTTTTTTTCTCATTTAACAACGCTAAATGCTCAAAACTTTTATAATTTCACTCGATTATTGTTAATGAACGAAAAACTACGCACATGTCAATAATTATTTGGCACTTACCTATTTGTATTAGAACGACGATAATGGCTCAGTTGTTGGATAGTGCTTACTGGGACTGAGCAAGGCTAGCACAATTTAACAGCACTGATAAGATTGCAGTATACTCCTATGAAAATGATTATTTCTTATCAATCACACAGAGTGCACTGTAAATAAATAACTTTGATGTTACTTAGTTAGCATCGGTAAATGGACTTTTAAAGCATCTATTGTTACCAAGCCTAATAATCAGCATTACATTTTAACAGTTTTCAAAACAATTCTGAAAAGAAAATAGTAGACAACACACATATTTAAAAGAATACTACTGTAAAACGTTCGAGAGTTCCTATTGTACGTTGGGCGTTTTCAAATTGCTTAAACGTGACTAAAGTAGTTCCCTCAGCTAAAGTAATAGCATATAGTTTTGGACACTGAATACAACTTCCCATCTGTGTGAACCAGTTGCAATATTAAATTAATCTATACTAAGCGAAACCCGTCGAAATTGACGGTTACTACCAAGGCTTACGCTAATATGCGATAATAATAGAGTTCAATTATCAAAACTTTAACATTTACCTTTTTGTAATGAGTAATAAATAAGTTTTAAAAATAATTATGACTATTGCGCACGTTACAGAATATGGTTTGATTATTCAATGAATAAAATGTTTCCAGTACGTCAACAAAGTTATTATTACTATGTTAAATAGTTTCATCTCCTTTATGAAGAACTTTAAATAGTATTAAAATCGTATGGCAGGATCTTTTGTGGTAAACAATTTCGCGATTTCATCAGTGCAAGGCAGATTAAATCTATGTTTTTATTTGAGAAAAAATATCTGTTGAGAAGGCACGTTCTTGCTTCAAAGTGAGGTCAACCCTTAAGCTGTGTAAGTTTGATTCTTTTCTTTCATCATGTCGGTCATCATACCATACTTCTTTGCCAATTATTTAACCGCATAATTTTGAGAAATTTGGCCGTGGGGTTTCTGTTAAAGCTGGAATTCCTTGACATGTGGATGTCAGTTGTCTAATATCAATTAAAACTATCGATTCGATTAGTAAACCGTCATTCGATTCTTTCACTATCAGCAAGTTTGGTTAGATGAGTTAGTTAGATTAGGTTATGACAAGTTTACCGGGCGAGTAACGTACGATACTTTACATCATAATACACAGAATAATTAGTACATTTTAAATGCATTACACAATTTATTATGTACTTACTTAGCCTACTTAATTTATTTACTTAGGACACAAGTTAACATAAATTACTATAATATTTTTTTATATTACAGATAATAAACTTAAGAAGTGCACGGTAAAAGTACATAACTTAACGTTACTTTACCGTGTTTGGGCACGGTGATGTAAGTCACTTACAATAGGCTATTACCTAGGCTAGCCTTTGTTTTTAGGGATTGTCAGACAATAAGTTAGGCCTATTCAGTTAAAAAAAATCCAAAATGCTGAATGTTCTAACAACTAACTTAAATTAAGGCCTATATAAGTTTAGCCTAACTTAAAATAGTTTATAAAAGCCCTTAAATTAAGTTACGCATAAAATTCTAAATTTAAAAAAATTGAGGTGACCTCCCCTCCTGCCATGCTAAGTTCAGGGAACCATAATAATTATCCTCTTTTTTGATGGAGGGTCTCTGGGAACCCTACTTATAAGTTAGGCCTGCCGCCTAGCCTAGCCTATGGTAGGCCTACACCTATCCACGGTGATAGTTTGCTTTGTACCATATTTTGGTAAACTGGTCGTAGAAGTGTTTAAGTACTCTCATGTGAGCTATGCTATATGCTAGAATGAACACCAACAAAAGCTAAGAGTGGGTTTTAAGATTAGGTCTTGAAAAATAGGCCTGGAGCTAGGCCTAACTAAGTTACCAGTACTTATAGATTGTTGTTGGATATACTTAACTAAGTACAAGTACCCAAATGTTAGCCTATATGATGCAAAGAATCAAAGACCTTATTGAAGAGGAACAAGTAACTTAGCAAACCTTAACAATACGCCAAGTTAAATCTTTACCGGGGAATCTCACCATCTTCCCTTATGTGTATGTGAATGTGAATGGCTGCCAGCTGCCATGCGAGCTGTTTGATATTTTTCGAATTTCTTCCCACCAAAATGTAGGGCAAACTTAATAATAAGAAACAATAGCTAAAAACATATTTTACTTACCTAATTTATATTGTATTAGTAATTTATTTATTTAATGTATGAACAGAACAGAACAACAGAATGAACGTATTCGTATCGTATTGAAGTTGAGTTGAAGTTAGACTAGGACTAGACTAGAAATGTCGAAGTACTTCGAGAAAAAAGTCGAAGTACTTCGAGATAAAAGTCGAAGTACTTCGAGATAAAAGTCGAAGTAGAATGAGAGACAAAAAGAAACTGAATGTCCCTTCAGGACCTTCGTAATTTCTTATGCTAGTTAAATTTGGTTTCTCTTTTCGGAGTTCATTTAGCTCTTCTACCCGACTGATTTTCATGTTTGAGGTCCCAAATTGAAGGCATGTATGCCAAGTTTTCACATCAAGTATCGGAAAATATTTATCTACTGTTTTACTCGACTAAAACACATAATTTAATTTTTTTCTAATTCTTACTTCAATTTAATATGTATTTCACCAGTTATAATTATGAAATACCGGCTTTCGTTTAAGCTATTAGTTATTCAAATCGGACGAGTTTCAAGCAAACGCATGGTGAACAACAACATAAATATTATTTTTCATAAGGTTTTTTTATGATTAAAAATCAATAGCTCCAATATTTTTAATATTTTTTAGACAAAAAATAATTAGTAGATTATAGGCTTTAAATTGACCTATTGATCGTTTGAATCAGTTAAGCTCAAGATACTGTATTATTCAATCAAAAATAATAAATTTGATTATTCCTTGGATTTTATATTTATTTTAACGCTGCAGAGCAGCATGGGTCCTCTAGTAGTCATGTTAATACTTATGAAGTCAAACGGGGTGAAGCCCGTGGGTAACAGCTAGTAGCTATAATAAAAGATTCTAATTACAACTCTGTTCCACCACCTATTTATAAATACCAAAGGATCTTATCAGAAAAAAATTATTACAGTTCAAACAAATTTAAAAAATGAAAATTGGCTGCTAGTCTTTACATTTGGAAATAGATTGGATAAAAAATATGAATCATTCAACTCAATTTTATCAAATCATTTTACAAAATCATTTCCTCTAAAGAAAATCAATCTATGCCATTCGATGGATAAAATTATATTACCTCCTGAGATAAAAGAACTTAGAAATGGTGTAAAAAAACTATATTCAATGACAAAAAATTTAGATTCTACCCATGCCGAACATACCGAAGAACATACCGAGAAAAAAAGAAAGAATACAGAAATTCCATTAGAGAAATAAAACCGACAGACATCAAGAACAAAGTAGTTAATTCCAAGAACCCCGTGAGGGAATTATGGAAAACTGTTAACGAAAATAGAAAAAAGACCAAATCAAAATTACAAACCAATTATGAAATCAGGAATTCAAATGGAAACAAGCTTACTGATCCAGATTAATAAATTTTTCATATATATATATATATATATATATATATATATATATTGGACAAGTAAGCAATATTAACAAATCATCTCTTGAAACTTTACACACTTATAATTCTATATATTTACACTATACAAATGAAGAAGAGGTTATAAAAACTATTAACGATATGAAATCCTTACCTCTTATGGCTTTGATGACATATCCTCTAAAATTTTAAAATCTTGCTCTTCAGAACTGTCTACTCCAGTGACGTATTTAATAAATCAGTCAATAACTAGTGGTAAGTTTCCACAATCATTAAAAACTGCCAAAGTTATACCAATTTTTAAAGCTGGCGATTCTCAAAATACAAGCGATTACAGACCAATATCTATCCTTTCTTCATTCAGTAAAATATTTGAAGAAATAATTCTGAATATACTTTTATCATAAAAAAAAATATTATTAAAAAATCAATTTGGATCTCAAAAGAAAATGTCAACCACAAACGATATATGTGAAGTAATTAAATATATTACCTTTCATCTTGATGGAAATAATAATGTAATGGCACTATTTTTTGATTAAAAAAATCCTTCGATATGGTATGTCATAAACAACTTTTAACAAAATTAAACAATATAGGAATTAGAGGAATTTCACTACAATGGTTTGAATCTTACCTTAGTAAAAGCATAAACAAATAGAATAAATATAGACTGTCAAAGGAAGGTTTCGGCGCCCACCGCTAGGAGTGCCGTGTAGTTACGGCGAACACCGCTGAAGGTGAGGAGCGCAGAAGCCGTATGCGACCAGCAGACGCTGCAGCGGTGTGCGCCGTAACTACTAGGCAAACCTAGCGGTCCAGATAGTCAGTCCAAATTCCATTTATTAATAATAACATTAATGTAAAATATTGTAGTTCAGAAAAACTTGAAACAAAATCAGGTGTCCTACAAGGTTCTGTACTAGGTCCAATTTTATTCATAATATATAGGCCTATAAATGATGTGACATATTCAAGAAAATTATCTGAAGTGATATTATTTGCTGATGGCACAACCTTATTGACATCTAGCCAATATAGAGAAGAATTGGAAATTACATTTTATGAAGAAGCAAATGAACTAGCACAATGCTTCATGGATAACCATTTAGAAACTAATGTAATAAAACAAAATTTATGGAATTTTTAATCAGAGATAAAATTAAAAAAATATTTCAACTTAAATACTTTAATTGATGAACAACAAATAGAAGTAGTAAAAACAATCAAATTCCTAGGACTTATTATAGACCAAAATTTAAATTTCAACTCACATACTGAGCACTGATGTAAAAAACGTTTCCAAATTATTTTTATACTAAGAAGATTGTCTATACAATCCAGCCAGTTATAGTTTGGTGCAGTGAAGACGCATTACTCACAGTATATCATTCGCTAATTATTTCCAATATTAGATATGCAATACCTATATGGGGCTCAACTTCATCAAAAACTAAACAAATATTTAAATTACAAAAGTCTGCATTAAGAATTATTTTCAAATTAAAACCACGCTAAACTTAAC